GGCAGGGGCTGAAAGGCTGGCCTCTGCAGACCTGGGGGGCTGTGCAGGCTGGCAGGAACACCAGGACGCTGGCCAGTGGGGAACGCATGGGAGGTGAGGCTGGGGAGGGGCTGCTGGGTGCACAGGGGGGCACTCAGGAGTTGTGTGAACCCCGGGCTCCATTGCTCCCTGGCTGCTGAGAAGGGAAGGTGCGTCTGCTATCCTTTCCAAGGCAGCAGGGAGGTGGGGCTGCCACCCACACGGTCAGGGAAGTTTGCCCACAGCCAGGCCCTACCCACAGGGCTGCCACAACTGGAGAACCATCCACAGAGGTGCAGGGAAGGTAGGTGGGCTTTAGAGATGAAGTAGCGTGGGCCCCTGTCCATCGCGCCTCTGACAGGGATCTGAGTGAGGAGCTCAGCCCTGCTTTGCACACAGTGACGGCCCAGAAGCGGCCGCTGTAAATGTTTTCCTCCCCTGCCTGGGAGAAACCCTCTTTACCCTTCCAGGCCCAGCTCTGTGACCGCGGCTTCTGCCTTGTGCAGGCCCGACCCTGGCTGACGGGACATGCAGCTGGCATCCCAGGGTCACGCTGTTGCTCGGCCGTGGTCAGCTTGGCCGGAGTCCACCTCCCAGCCCCTCTAGAAACTGGGCCTTCAAAGGTGGGAGTGTGAGCTGCTGCCCCTGCGTAGCTACTCAAGAAGGGCACACTGCTGGACCCGTGTGTGACGGAGCATCACTGTGAGAGTCCCCTGGACTGTGAGCTCCAGGGACAGGGATGCGTCCCTGTCTGGCGCAGGCCACGGCAGCTGCTCAGCTCAGGGTTCAGTTCGCATCAGGCAGGACCTCCCTAACTGCATGAGCCACGTGGCCATGGCTATGCTATGCGATGAGAGGGGAGGGTTTCCCTGCGTTCACCCTGGTGCTGCTGACCGGCTCGGATGCTGCCCCCGAGGGCTTGTCCCAGGCCCACAGAGCACCCTGCTCCGAGTCTTGCCAACTGAAGTCACAGAGGAGGGGAGGTAGCTGCGGCTCAGTATGACGTTCCCATGATTTAATTTCATAAAACACTCTTCCTATTTCTCGGTGACCAGGCCGGATCGCTTCTCTGTGAGGCAGGGTGATCAGGGTGGCAGCAGGTGGTGATAAGAGGCTCTGTAGCCCAGGGCTGCGTGGAGAGCCTGTGCTTTCTCACTGACCTTGTTCAGGGGAGGAAACGAAGCTGCAATGGCTCTGTCAGTGGTAATGTAGCAGGCAAACACGCAATGCGGGTTACTTGGAATGCTTTTCTTGAGATATGAGACCCGCTATAAAATATCACATACTGGGCCGCTGCTGGGGACACAGGTTAAGACCTGAACCTGACCTCAGGGGGCACAAAGCCTGGTGAGAGGGCAGAGGTCAAAATAACAGGCTAAATGCCATAGGGTGAGCTCAGCACGGCACAGCAGTGCCCCTGGGTTCTAGGGCTTTCTAGCCAGGAGGACTGGCTTCCTGACAGGGAGCTCGGAAAGCCGCTGGGCCATGGTGACGTTCACGTGGGGTTTCTGAAGACAAAAAGGGAACTGACAGTTATCTGCAAGGTGACGAAAGGGTGTCCGCGAAGGCACAGCATGGGCAATGGACAAAGGCCTGGAGGGGTGAAACACCGTGTCACCGTTCAACATTCCTGATCCAGAAATATCCTGGGTGCACCTTGCTCCCTCAAACACCTACAGAGGGTGCCGTCCTCTACACCAGGTGGGATCAGCACAGTGGGAGCTGTGGCCACGTAACGGGCCTTGTCACGAACCCTGCTCTTCTGGGAGCTAGTGACCTAAAGGCTTATGATATAGACAGCTGTTCCTAAATTTGATGGAGGTAAAAAAAAACTGTCCTCCTACTTTTCTCCTGAAAGCTGAACAGCGCCAGATTCTTGGCCATCTTGGGGCAAAGTGAAGATGAAGCAGCCAGTCTCTCCCCATGTGGGAAGGTGCTGCTTGCCCAGGGCTCTTTGAAGGGTGCGTGTCCCTACAGGCTCTGGCGGGCTGGCAGCCTCTCCTTTTCTGTTCTGCTTGCATGACCGAGGCTCAGCCAGAGCCCATGATTTGGAGAACTCACAGTCATTCACCATTCTTGGGAGGGGGCCCCACAGCATCTGGTGGGGATAGATATGCCCCAAACTCAGGCATGGGGGCTGCTGGAAGGTTCCCTATGGGTGGGGGTGGGGAGGGGGCTCCCATGGGTCAGGCAGGGGCAGGGGGATGGGGTGGTAGAGTTGCTGTGGATCCAACAGAGGAGAAAACAGCTCTCTCCTCTTACAGAGAGATCTGGAGGGACGCGGGGTGGGTGATGCTGACTGGTGCCTCCTGGGGACACTGTGGTTCCCACCCGTCCTCCACCCCAGCTTCCCAGAAAGGGCGCTGGTGGGGCTGCTGCCCGAAGGTAAAAGGCATACCGGGGACTCAGGTCCCTGAGATTAGGGGTTCGCCTCAGTTGGATGCGAGGCTACCCCCTGTGTGTGCTGACCTCAAAGCAGGAGGCGCCTCCACAGCCTTACCCTCACCAACTCGGAGAGTGTGGGGCCGTCACTCCCACCGTGGGCCACGCAGACCTGGGCTTGCAGCCGCACTCGGTTGCTTACTGACTGGGCGACTGGGCAGCTCAGGTGATTTCTGAGCCTCAGTTTCCACTCTGGTGCTATCTCTAATGATACTAATGAGGCTGTAGGGAGGGCCAAGTGGTCCTGGGTGTGACTGGGCTCCCACTGGGCCTGGGGTCGGGGAGTGGGAGCCATACTGTTGCCTTAGTTACAGGTCCCTGGTCCAGCCCCCTCCTTTTATTGGGTGGAGGTCAAGGCCTGGCCAGGGGTGGGGAAGCTCTGCCTAGGTGGCCCTCTGCACACAGCGGGCTTTGGCCACTTGGTGCCTCACAGCTGTGCAAACCACCTTCCCAGAACTGGCCTATTGTGGCTCCTTCCAGGTGAGGAGCAGCTGTCAGGAAGGGTGCGCAGGAGAAAGGCAGGCCTGTGCACTCGCCGGGGCTACCAGCATGGCCTGCCAGCGCCAGCTCCCGGCTTCTGCGCGCCCCTCCCCGGTGGAGGAGGACGGGGTGAGACCCTGACGGCAGGCGCACGCTAGCAGGTGGCAGAGCCCAGCCCAGAGCGCAGCTCTCCTGTCACCCCTGTCCGACCCTCCTGGTGCCAGAACTGAACGCAGGTGTCATCACCAGACCGAGGGGCCGTGCTTCCCATGGAACAATCCACTATGCACTTAGATGGTGAGCTGTTTTTATGGCTTCACAAGCACAGATGAGCCTATGAGACCTGATAAGACACTGTGCTAGAGACGCCCGCTGAAAAGCTCATAATCTGGGGAAAACCAAAACTGCTTACTCAAGACAAAGTGGCTTCCTTCTCAGCGGGTGGGGAGGAAGGACCAGGGAAGCTGTGGGCAGTGGTGGCTCCTGGGGTGGATGGAGAAACACGAATGCATCGTTATGTCATTAAGTGCTTAATATATGTGCAGGGGATGCAGGGACCTGGGTCCCTAGAGTCGAGGGACTGTAGGGAGGCCCGTGGGCCGAAGGGGTGGCCATAGGAAAATGTGAACGCAGACTGACGACAGGGCCCACGCCAAGGGCAGCCCCACGGAGCTGTGGCCCAGCAGCCCCTCGGCAGGCGGGCACCGACCACACCGAGCACCCCGGGCCCAGGTCCTTACACCTGCTGAGCTGGAGGACCTGGGGGCTGCGTTTCCCGAGTCTGGGAAGAAAGTGTATCTCCTCAGCCTCAGGCCCCACGGTGGGGATTCCTGAGGCTTCCTCCTGTCTCCCAAGCCTGTCTGTGGCAGGAGCAGAGTGGGTGGCAGATGTGGGGGTGGTCCACTGGCCCCCTATCATGCTGCCCACAGGCCCCGTGAAGCGGGGTTGGCGCAAGTCGTGGACGCCCGGGGTTTCACCTGGGGATCTTGGCCTGGGGTGGGCTCCAGCCTCCACCTTCCCCCACCTTTGGGTTTCCTGGTGCTGGGCAGAGAGCCTGGTCCCATCTCCCAACCCTGCTCCAGTCTCGCCCCCTTGCTGTGGAGGCGGGGTCCCTCACCTGAGGCTCATCTGGGCACCGGTACTGCCCCTGGTCTCTGGCCAGCCGGACGGCCTGCCTGAACGATGTTCTCTGGACCTGGGCTGCTGCCTGTGGGTGGCCTCCATTTCTCCACACCTCCCCATCCTGATCCCCTTGCTTCCAGAGTGGCCCCCTGGCCAGGATGGCCCCTGGCTGTCCTTGAGAGGAAGCTGTTGCAGTCCGGCCTGTATCTGGAGGGTGGAGGCCCGAAGAAGCACACATGTCTCTGGGGAGTGCTTACCAGGTAGAAAGAAGAAGGGCCCGGAAGCGCGGTTAAGCACTATATTCTCTGTCACCATGGAGAGACCCTCCTGGCTCCCTGTCACAGCAGTGTGGCTTCCAGAACCCCGGGTCCCAGGCAACTCCTGTGACTTGCCTCTCAGTTCTCAGACAGCAGCTACTCGTTTGGCTGCTGTCAGCTTGGCCTGCCCCACAGCAGCCTCAGCTCTAAAGGTCTCTGGCTAATGGGACCCCCAATGCCATCCCTACCACACGCGTATGTCCCCTGTGGTCGCAATCCTGCTCCATCTGCCTTATAACTCCGAACAAACAATAGCAGCTGTTGTAGGCCAGCGTGGCAGCCAGTGTCCTTCCTGGGTGGGCGTGGCCAGCTGCTCAGCGGGGAGCCCTGGCCTTCCTCAGCCAGGCCTAGCCACCTGCAGCCTCAGCCAGATTCCACACCCAGCTCCGGTTTCCACCAGACAATGAAAAAGAATGTCCTTGCCCAGCGACGCCTGCATGGATATGACATAGAGGACAGAGAGCACAGGAGGGAGGCAGCTTTGGGAAACGACCTGAAGCCACCCGAAACGAAGCCCTGGTCCGTAAAGCACCCCAGCTGCCCACTCAGGTGCCGAGGATAGGGAGGCACTTTCCTTTTGGGCTGCCTTGTGCCAGGATGGCAGTGCGGGCGGGCACTTACGTTGATCATAGCATTTGACGTGATGCGGAAGAGGGTGGCCCGCTCATTCACAGCCTTCAGCTTCTCGCTGCTCTCGTAGGGGATCCTGAGGCTGTCCAGCTCGTTCAGGGAGCGCTGGAGCGCAGCGCCGTGCTTGGCGATGAGGTCATTGCACGTGCTGAGGTCATCTAACTTCAGGGAGAGGTTCTTGATGGTGTTGTGGAGTTCACTCTTGTCCGTTGGGGTGGCAGTCTCCTCGTCGTCGTCCCCAGAGTCATCTGTGGAGAGAAACAGAGTTGCTGTGTTTATCACTGACGGCGTGAGAGGCCTGCCCGGCCTGGGCTCACTCAGAAAGGAGGGTGCCCTATGCGGTGCCTGTTCCTGCCCCCTGGCAAGGTGAGGTGGCCACCAGCCTTCCCTGGGTGGGCACAGGCCCCTCCTGAGTCAGTGGGAGGGGACTTAAATGGGGACCAGCTTGAATGACAGGCTTTGGAGGGGGTAGGCCTACAGGCACCTGCCTGCATGCAGGCACCAGCTCCACTAAGATGGGATGTGCATGCAAGGACACGCTGTGCTGCATGGAGAGGTGAAGACGCTGTGTGGGAGCAGCTCTCACCCTAGGACCAGAGACCCCGGGTGAGGCCAGCTCCTCTCCCCATGTCCAGGCCTACCCCTTGCCTGACCTGCGCTTTCCCAGCAGGTTCCTGCAGCTCTCCCTGCTCCGTGCACCCCCTCCTCAGCCTCACCGAACTGCCCGTTCCCTGCAAATACGTGCGCACTCGTACCTGAGGCCTTTCCCACTGTGTCCCACTGCCTGGAACTGCCTCACCTCACCTCACCTCAACTGAACTTGTTATTAAGCAGTGCACTTTCGTAAGTGGATCTTGAGGTCTGATCCAGCTGCCAGGGACACCTCCTCCAGCTGCTCAGAGGTCTCTACCCAACCAATGCCACTGTGTCTTCAAAGCCCGCCTGGAGACCCTCAGGCCAAAGTCTCAGCTCCCTGTCCCTGATTCTGCCCCACCTGGTCCTGCTGCAGGTCATCAAACCCATCTGCCCTGCAGGACCAAGGCCATTCTTATGTACCAAATGTCTTCTGTTTATAGACACTGGCTGTGGCCTCTGAAGGGCCTTGTCAAGGTAGAGACTACTATTCCCAGGGGACAGATGAGGTAACTGAGGCTCAAAGAAGTGAAGCCATGCCCCAGGCCACCTGGCCAGTCTGCGGCTTCCAGAGCCACTTTCTTCCCACAAGCCGTTCACTCTCCTCCCCCTCCCACCCCCCCTCACTTCTCGCATAGCTGCCCAGGTGCCCTTGGTGCACCGCTTCCCGGGAGCCTGGGGTGCCTTAGATCCTGGCCCACTGCCAGCCAAGGGGCGTGGGGGCCTCTTGGGGGTTCAGGGAGCAGCTGCTCTGGGCCCTGCTCCTGCTTTAATGCCGAGCATGCAACCACCAAGAGCTTAACGCAGGCCTAGGGTGCCAGAGCCTGTAGCTGCTGAGGGGTTCTGAAACACCCTGTCTCAGAAATAGTCAGCAAGAAACTTTTTTCTTTAGATCAAGGAACTCTATAACCCAAGACACAATTTTTTTGTTACAAGTGCATTTTGTGAGAGAACAGATTTTTTCCCACAGTGGGCAGGATGTGTGGGGGTGGCCCCCGGCTGAGTCACGGCTCTGAGCTTGCCCTGAGCTGGTGGCAGTGCCAGGCCAGCCACTGGTGTGGGGCCCAACTGAGGGGGCTGGGAGGGGGGGAGCACCCAATGCACACCCTGTCCCTGCAGCCCTAAGGAGCCTTGGGTCAGCATCCAGGCGGGGGTGGGGAGGGGGGCAGGGGTCTCCCTCCAGGCCAGCCCAGCTACAGCCCCCACATGACCGGTGTCTGAAGACCACATGCGCCAGGCCAGGCTGTGGGCCACGGGCTTTATTAATGTGAACACTGAGCCTAATGGTGGTTAGCAGACCTTGGCTCTTCTCCCTGTTCTGCAGGCAGGAACGTGCAGGTTCCTAGAAACAAGCCACCGGTTTAGGGTCCAGCCACTAAGGAGGGAGAGTTGGATCTGAATCCAGGCTGGTCAGCACGGAAGCCTTTCCTCCCTCTGGATCGCCTTAGAAAGGCTCCAACACTAAATGTGTACCTTGCCTTTCTGGGTGCCCTGCGCTGGGTGAGGGCACTGCTTCTGTTACCATGTCGATAACCCAGTGACGTAGGTCTGGGGGCAGAAAGGTGCACTGAGCTTGCCCAGGGCCATGCAGTGAGGGAATCCTGGGGCATCCATATCTGTCTGGCTTCAGAGTTTGGACTCTCAGTTACAATGCAAACTTCCTATCACCTTTCCAGGTTCCGTATGTCTAATAACCAGAATGGGCAGCCACCGATGACCAGTCAGAATGGCAGCCGCCGTACACGGGCAGGGCCATGCGGGGCTCGCTGGCGCGGGGCATGCTGGAGGGCCCCTGTGCTCTAAGCAAGAGCCAATGAGCTGTAACTCGGAGCATCCTCCTGCCTGGTGGGTGAGGGGGGACGAACCACATTTCTACTTAACTTGTTGTTAAGCAATATACTTTAGTAATAAGCACCTCTCAGGGTCTAAGTTTAAGTCAAGCTGCTAGGGACATGGGGATGTGCTGTCTGCCCCCAAGTCACTGGCTATGTCACTGGGATTTGGGATAGGAAGACACCTAGGTCGGCAATTACAGACCAGCGCAGTCTGTTCTCTGGGGACGGGCAGCTTGAGTCTCTCCCAGGTGGGCAGTGACATCAGGAGAATGAGGGAGGGTGGGACAGAGTGAGTGGGTGAGTGAATGAGTGAATGATCTTGGGTGCATCACAGGAGCCCTGCCCAGGCCCATCAGTTCCCAGAGGCACGCGTGGAGGTGGCAGGTCACGCACAGGATGGTGGGATCTGGAAACGGATGTGAGAAGTAGGGGTGAAGCACAGAGGAGCTAGTTGGACAGTAGAGATGGTGAAGGGCCTTCGGCAAAGCCAAGGAACCTGGGCCTTCATCCCTTGGTAAAAGGGAGTATGTGGGCCTGTGAGCAGAGGCCCATGAGACAGACAGACAGACTGGAGGCAAGTGGCATGATGGGCAGATGGCAGGGACAGACAGGCCAGAGGTCTGGCAGGCCTGGGGCCAGGGTGACCACAGAAAACCAGAGGCTGAAGAGAACAGGATCCTTAAACCCAGCCCAGGCATGTTGATGGCATCACCCAGCAGCTCCAAGGCCATGAATGACCAGGTTCTTTGCCTTTCCCAGCTTGTAGAGGCTTCCTACACCCCTTGGCTTATGGTCCCTTCCTCCATCCCGAAAGCCAGCAGAGTAGCATCTTACAGTTTCTCTCTCTGACTCTGACCTGCCCGCCTCCCTCTTATAAGGACACTTGTGATTATATCAGGCCCAACCCAATCATCCAGGATAGTCTCCCCATCCCAAGATCTTTAATCACATCTTCGAGGTCCCTTTACCATCTAAGATAACATATTCAGAGGTTGTGGGAATAAGGACATAGACATCATTGGGGGCCATTATTGAGACCTGAACACCAGGCAGTGCTCTCACTCTATCATTGATCATTACATTTGGTTTACTGGCCGAGGAGGTGGTCCCCAGATGCTCCCTAGTTAATCACTGAGACTCCTACCTGGATGCAGAGACCTCACAAGTCCCTCTGTCCTCCCCTCAAAGCTGAGCACATATGCCTCCTGACTGGTCAGGGAGGGGGTGGTTCTGGGTCAGGCAGTCCTGCATTGACCCCATGTGGCTTTGGTTAAGTGCTCTCGTCCAAACACTGGGGATATTAATACCTCTCTGGAAAAGGGCATTAAGCAGCCAGTGCACGACTGGTGCAGAGCGAGGACTTACTGGCATCAGCCCACATCGCCTTCATCAGCACAGCTCACTCTTGGACATAACCAGTCTTGAATTTACTTCGAATCATAGAAACTTGGAACAAGTGGCAGGCCCCGTGCGTTTGCTGTGGCCCCGGCCCCCGCCCCCGTGAACCCTATACTAGCCACCTCTGGCTGAAGGACCCACTGGGCACCTGCGCCAGGGCTGGGATCCTTTTCACGGGGGGGCTCCTGGGGAGGAGTGGGTTGCCATGGAAGCAACCAGCTCAGCAGAGCCAGGTAAGCTATTTTTAGAAGTGGAGATTTTTTTACACCTTCGGAGGAAAATGGATCAAATTTCTGGATGGGAAGTCTTGTCAGGCGGCAGCTCTTTGAAATCCAGAAACCAAAAGGCTGCGCAGACTGGTTTTGGGTGGGGGCAGGGTGGTGACGTGGTGGTGGGAGCCCGAGGCCCTATGGCCACCCCGTTTTGCACTGTCTCTTGCTTGTTTCTCTAGAGAACATGGCTTTGCCCTCACATGCCCACAACCTCCTTGGGCTCAAGACACAGGATGAATAGGGGGGTCCCTTCCTCTCACACACCATGGCTGGAGATGACTGAGAACAGGTCTGGCTGATGGGGGGCCTCAGGGCACACAAGGCCAAGGTCATGGGCAAGCCCAGTGCTCAGCCCTCCCTCTGCACCCACACCCAGTACAGGGCTGGACAAGCTTTGCGGGGAGGGGGTGCTGAGATGGGTCTTGATAGAGGGCTAGGACTGCAGGGGAAGGAAACAGGTCTATGGGGGTGGGGGCAGCCCCAGTGGTGTCCTGAGCAGGGAGGGACATCTAGATGGCTCATCTATGTCTAGGTGCCAAGAAGATGGAGACTCCGTGGCCCAGGCCCAACAAGGCCTGGCCCAGTGTCTGCCAGCGTCTCATCACCTTTCTCCTCCTGGTCCTTCAGCCCACCCAGTGACACGGGTGGGTCCCGTGGGGCCCCAGCGCTCTCCCCGTTCTGCGCCTTCCCCGGATTTCTTTCCTCCTCTCCTCTGCCCGGCAGACGGCCGCTCCCCGAAGGCCCCATGCCGCTCACGTCAACTGAGCTGAGCGGCTGCCCGGGGCCCTCAGGCTCCCTCTCTTGGGCTCCCGAGAGCTGGGTCTCTTGATCAGTCTCCAGCCAATTGGAGTAACGTCCAAACTTGTAAAAAGAACCCAGTGGCTTCTTAGAGGACAAGGGTCATAGACTGCTCATCTCTGCAGGTCCAGCAGCAAGTTGGTCACCAGGCCACAGGGCCCTGGGTTGACGAGACAAAGAGAGAAGACTTGCCCTGCTTTCTGGGAGTAGCAGGAGGAGGCAGGCACTCTAGGGGACCCCAACAGCCATCTGCAGGGTGGCGGTCCAAGGTGGATGGAGGCCTGAAGACAGCCACAGGATGTCACCAGGCGA